GCAGCAGTTTATTGAGTGGTATTTAAGCAGCATTTAAAGTTATTTATTAAGAATGTGAAGCTTTCACAGTACCATCTTATGGCACCAGGAGGTTTTATAAAAAAAAAATAAAAAAAATAAAAAAACCCTCTTGGAGTGTAACCAATAAAAGAAAAAAAGGTTTATAATAAAATGAAAATGAGTAAGTTGGCACTGACAATGAGAGAGAGAGACAGAGAGACTCTGACTTACCGTTCATGGCCATCTCTAGAGGCAACAGATCTGTATTCCTAGTGGAGGACTGGGCAATTATTTGTGCAGGTAGGCCACTTCATTAGTTTTGTTGACTTGTCGAGATCTTCACCTCTCTCCCCCTTCCCCTCCCTCCTAGGGCTGAGACCAGCACAGAAGTCTGAACCCACCCACAGCTTTAGCATGCCCTGCCCCCCCCCCACAGGCACACAGCTGAAGTCCACCCGCCCCACATCCCAAACACGGCCAGCAGCTCTGGGTCAGGGCTCTAGGCATAGGAAGAAGGGGGAGTGGAAGCTCTGGACTCCCCCTTCCCCTGGCAAAGGGGTGGGGCAGGACAGTGGGGCATCGGGCACCAGTAAGGTGCAATGCAGCAGCAAAGCCAGTGGCCAGGAAGCTGAAAAAAAATTGGGGCTGGAGCACCTGTTCCCATGACCTGCATGCATGGTTCAGCACCAACATGCCTAGTGCAGTGGCAGGGTAGGGAGTACCCATGTGCTCAGTGCAGTGGGGGGTACCTGGGGAGGCCCCTGACCCATGCTGCACCTGCAGCACATTGGTGCAGCCCATGCTACTAAGAATTCAGGCAGCCCTGTTCTATAGTCACGAAAAAAAACTTTTCCCCTGTAGCCCACTGAGACTGCCTCTAGCAGTTCCTATCTCTCTGCAGATTCATTTTAAACTCAAAACAAAGTCATTCAGGGTGAGAAACCCAGCCAGGCTCTTTAGTAGGAACACTGTACTTGCAACAACATCCCTGACCCACTTAAAAGAGCTCTTAAACGATTTTTAAAATAGAAGGTAATTGGACAGGGCTGTGTTCCCTTTAGGCTTCTTGCAATTACATAACATTTCTAAAAGCCTTCTACAACTCAGGGCTGTCCAACATCTCAATGGCTGGGGGCCACACATGGCATTATGCAGGCCCCCCTTCTCCTGTGCCATGGGCATGTTGTTAGGTCCTGCGCTCAGGGCTGGGGGCAGATTGTGCAAGATAGGGTTTCTAGGCCCTTCACTCTATCAACAGCAGTAAGAGTGATGGAGGAAGCAGTGCTAGGAGTGGGAGCTGCAAGTTACCTCTCACAGGCCGGATGCCTGTAAGGGCCGCCAGTTGAACACAGCTCTGTACTAGATGTTTGCTTGACCAAAACACTAAGAAAAAAAAAGTCATCTGAACCATGCACTTGCCAAAATTAAAAAAAAAACAACAAAAAAACCAAACCAGCAGACATTTAAAATATTTGATTTTTCAATCCTATTTGCTTAAAAAAATTCCACCTCCTCTCCCCTTTGTGGTATCAGGGTCTTCCTTCTCCACTCAAATGAAAACAGTTTCTGACAGGGTGCTCAGAAGCAATTTCTGCCCTGAAAATTTGTTTAAAAATGTCCCAGGGAGATGATAAAAAAGGGGCGGGAGACCCCTTCCCTCACATGGGTTGCAGCAGAGACAACCTGCTGCAGCGATAAAAAAAAAGTCCTGAGGACAGGGCATACTCACCCCCTCCAGGCACAGCTGGGCCAGACGAACTGTGAAGGGGCAAAGCGCCCGCGTGCTTCATCAGTTGCTTTTCTCTGTGGCTGGGGCCAGTGTGCACCAATGGCATCATCCTAGAATGCCAGCCAGTCGGAATAAAGGGTGGCAGTAGGAAAACAATATGGGGGACACTGCAGGGAGGCAGCTGCAGGATCACCCTCCCCCTCCGGCTAAGCAGAGAACGCGGACACCCACTAGGAGGGCCCCAAGCAGGACTCTGCAGGAGGGCCCAAGGCCCAAGTTAAAGGGCCACACCACCACTGGCAACAAGGGAGTCGGCCATGAGGAAGACGCCGATATACAGCGAAACCAACAAAAGCAGGACTCACGAGTGGGGAGCAGGCCAGGGACTCTCCCTGGAATTTTGGTTCCTTTTGTTTCGTTTTTTTTCTTTCAAAGCCCAGGGGCCTGAGAAGGGCTATTGGGCTGACTCCAAGGGCTGAGCGGGTCAGGGCCACTCAGGAGACCCCAACATGGAGAAGCTAGGCCTATCTGTAAGGTCATCACACTGCCCCAGGCAAGCCTGGGTAGCAGAAGCGAAAACTGTTGTCAACACCAGGGGACCCAAGTGGCAGGAGAGAGTGGGACCCTACATCAAGGTGAAGCTGAACCATACAATCAGCATGGATTTATTAGGGGGAGATCATGTCAGACCAACCCGATTGCCTTTTACGATCAGGTCACAAAGGCCATGGATGCAGGTGTCGCGGTGGATGTAGTCTTTCTGGACTTCAGCAAGGCCTTTGACACCGTCTCTCACCCCATCCTAGTTAAAAAACTAGGCGACTGTGGCATAGATGCCTACACAGTCAGATGGATTGCAGATTGGCTGAGGGGTCGCACTCAGAGGGTGGTGGTGGATGGGTCATACTCGACCTGGGGGGAGGTGGGTAGCGGAGTCCCCCAGGGCTCGGTCCTGGGGCCTGCGCTGTTCAATTTCTTCATCAGCGATCTGGATGATGGGGTGGAAAGTAAC